TACATTTTAATAATACTCGTATTTTGAATACAGCTTGATACAAAATATGTATGAAACATCTATATAACATTTCAAAAAATAAATATTAATAAATATTTATCATAAATATATTGTGTTGTCTGAGCTGGGCAGGTTCTGTTGGCACGTTGGCTTGGCAACAAAACACAAAGCTGATTTTTCAAAACCTCGCCACGTACGCAAGTTTCTTTGTGCAACGCGACTTTGTGCGCATTATACACCGCGCATGATTGTTTCATAAACGTCGCGTTGTCGCCAACGCGATCTTTTTTCCGCTCTCTCTCTCTTTCTCTCTCTACAGTTTCTCATTTACGATACGTATCGTTACGCCGTCGGCATCCTATCGAATTAACTGTGCACTAATTAATATCGGACGCCCCTCTCAATTACGCGAATGAAGATCAATTTCGAACAATGCCGCAACGGCGACGCTCCCATTGCAGCGTGTTAAGCTTATTCTTTGCAGCCGCACATTTTGTCCAGCTTTCCTTTTCCTTTTATATTCATGAGGTCTGTTTTCTGTTCTGTGGTTAAATTAATGTACACTTTTGGAATTTAAAGCGAGATGGATATATATTGATATTTGGCGAAAGCGAGAAAAAGAGTGCAGTCCCAATGAGTAGAATGTCTGAAATCAGAACACAAGATAACTTTAAGATATCTTTGGGTTTTTTTAAGAAATATCTATCAGATGTTTCATAAAGAAGTCTTAAAGATATCTTAAAGCTGTCTTACTATACAATCAATTTTAGACGTTCTGTTCATCGAGGTCTAATCTAATGCAGGAATAATTGTCTAATTCCAGATAGGACACAGAGTCATAATTAAGTTATAATGATATCGTAGGATGTCATTAATTGATGCTTAAAAATAAACTTAGAAATAACAAATAAGGTCAGATATTATTATGACTTCTGTGTTCTACTTGAGAAAGAGAGAGATTGTAGTATTATTTATGCAAATTCGATCACTCGCACTACACTAAATTAGTGCATATTAAAGGTTGCTTTATATAAAGTATCTATATATAAATGCAGTAAAAAATACAATCGACTTTTATAATGAAATAATAGATGTCCATTCTGTTAAATAACGCGATATTATTATTATTACAGACATACAAAATATTTATATATCTTTACCTGCTTTACATTTAACTTTGCTAATTTTCACGTACTGCAGCTTTTACTAATCTAGCGTAGGTAAGTGAATGACCGAATTCGCTATTATTTTATTTTTAGCTTGAAAAGTGTAACAGCGCGGCTACAGAGAACAGAACTGTCGTTGTTAGCATATGACAACGCTCCAAGAGTCGCAAGAAAACGCTCTTGGCTCTCTTGTCGCCTTGCATCGATCAGTGGCATCCATCCTCGGAAACACGACACGCGTAACACGTCGGAGCAATGACATACGGAACGCAAGGAATTCCACAGCTCGTTTGCGTCGTAGCATTACTCGAATCCCAAGGTGCGTTACTTTTCACGCATGATGTATCATTTTTATCCTTTATTTTTAAAAGTTTCAGTGAACAACCAAGATAAAATGATACATCATGCTCATCATGCGTGAAACGGAATGCTCTCCTGAAAATGATACCGCTTACCGTTGTGCGTGACAGCCGCGTCTTCCGGTCTTCAAAATTTGCCGGGCGTCTGGACGTCGTTTTAGATGGAGGGGGCAGGGAGAGTGTCGAAGCGATTTTGCAATTCCGTACCAAGCACCCTTTTCTGGAAAGGGGAGAGGGATTTTTGCGATCTCGCGCGGTCACAGGCTTATCGCGCGTTTGTGTGTTAATCCGATAATCCGGGGAAAACCGGAGACGCGCGATTTCTCAAGATGAAGATTTATCGACACTCACCGCGCACTGCGTCCGCTTTATCGCGCTTTATGTTTATCGCGTCGCGAGTATGTATGAATGGCCGCTATGGTTGGAACAGCGATAGAGCGAGCCCGACTCTGCTACTGAACGAGAGGGCGACGGTGACGTAATATCGGATGATCGCCGGCGTCATGTGCGCGCCGGTCGTTCCGCATGCCGGCGTGTACGTACAATCAACATGTACGCGGAACGGGTACGTGGAACGGCCCGCAAAAAGCGGAAAAAAAGCAGATATTATTCTTGCAGATGCATTCTCGAAGAAATTTTTCTGTTTTTGTTCGGCAAGTGACCATTCGCGATGTTGAATAAATTCCATCTCTGAAATAGGATCTTGATTTACATAAACAAATATAAATTATAAACATATTGTGTGTGTGTGTGTGTGTGTGTGTGTGTGTGTGTGTGTGTGTGTGTGTGTGTGTGTGTGTGTGTGTGTGTATAAAGTAACCAGTTCGTTATATATTTATGTTCAGAAAAATATATTTTGAAAAATAAATATAATTATGTAATCATATTTCTTTTAATATGTATACAGGGGGGCGAGACTCTACCGAAAGTCCTACCATTTTACAATTTTCGCAATAATTAAAAAGATATTAATTACTAAAAATCGTCGAATTAGTTTTCAATAATTTTTTACTCAAATACTATTAATCTTACAAAAAAAGCATATGACAAAAATTGTTTAATTTCTGCTCATAGAGTTTTAAGAATTTTTTTAGAATTTTTTAGTACCGTGTTTATTTTCTTATGTGTAAGTAAAAATAGTTGCAAATATATGTATAAGAAAATGCAGTATTAA